GTTCAAATAACAGTTACTTTAACGATTTTTAAAAGATTCGGTCCACCTGTCCTTCTCGGTAGCTATTAAACCCCTAAAAGGAAACCCCAAACAATCATATGACCTTACGCCACCATTTTGTTCCGTCGCCTCAGCACGACCGCATGTCGTAGCTCTCGCCCTGTAAAATCACACGCATGCGCACATCCAATCAAAAACACATTTTCACCTCCACGAAACGGATAACAGTCCAGCTGTACCTTCCGTTCCCCTCCTAGTCAACCAACATTTAACAGCGCTCACAAAACATACAACCTGACTTACAGACAGTGACAAGTTTAAGAGACTTTAATCCATCGCAATGGAATCTCTAAGGATATCCGTTAGCATGTAGCATGCAACACAATTAGCATCAGCAGTTAGCATTTAGCTTAGCCTAAGGTACACTGCGGCACAAAACACAATTAGCATGTAGCATTAGCATCCACCTCAGCCACCATGTAGAATGTAGCATCACACCCCAGCCTTACAAAAATTAGCCTTAGCAACGATGTACCACGTGGCCTGAAACAATCAAACATTAGCCACGAGGCACCACGTGGCCCAAAACAATCCAGCCCTAGCTTCAGCCTCTAGCCAACTGCGGCCTACTAGCTATACAAATGAACACCCCGCACCGTGGCCAAATCATTGTCTATCAGTAATATCTCCTTCTAACTTTGTGTTGCCGTAAGTTCTGGATAATCATAGAGAGGTTACCCCAAGCATTATAGTTCGTCAACCATACGATGAGTATATAACATACATATAATTCGTCCAGCTTAATAATTCCCAGAATTAACCTTACACCACATAACGCGTTGCAAGGATTTTATGGCCCATTCCTAAAGAATCGCCTCGATCCGAGGGCTTTTCCAGATTCCCGGTGCCCTAACTATGCAGACGTCTTCCAACATTTATTGTCTACCAATCCATTATCCTAAAACATGCTATTATTCCCCGTTTAACCATCAACCAAATTTAGAATATTTGTTATCAGACTCCTAATCGACAACAACACCCCACATCAACCACGACCCAAGTACTTTTAACTGTACACGGTCAAAGCCCTCTCATGAATCAGCGGGATAACCAATGGCCAAATTTCTTTGTGAGTAATCTCTCACCTTTAGAGCCGGCTTGGACAGTAGTCAACTCGCGAATCCAGGAAAGGGACCAACAACGATGCAATCAATATCTCAGCGGAGCCTCCATTTGTAGTGTAGGTTATTCGTAGGTGTTATCGTCAATCAAGGAGTCTGCTTAGGCTGGATCGTGTTCAAAGGCCTTTATTCAAACCACGAGGTTCCAGCGTAAGTACGGACACAATATCCGGAGAACCAGACCCAAATAAATCTTGCTGTATTCTAACTCTTCGTCACTGCTCCCCCCTTTATATAGCCTTCCAAGAGTTGAATAGCTCCCTCTACTGTTCAATCCCCGTATCTTACCACCCACTTCCTGTCTGTCATATGTGACGTCACGCTAAAACCTTCCCTCTTGATAGCAATAATCAACCTTCCATTTCTTCATGAAAAACCTTTAACAAAGACATAATTTTAATACACTACAGTCTCCTAAGTCATACCATCCTGGTGTCATAACCTGCTCTGTCACCTGTTCAATTACTGTGGCTGCGGATGAGCCAAAAACAGGCTCTCCTTTGGATCTCAGCCCTAACAAGTGTTGCCTCCACTGCAAAAAAGAACCAGAAGGTACACTTCCAGTCAGAAGTTTGGACACACCTACTCATTAAAGGTTTTTATTTTATTTTTACATTGTAGAATAATAGTGAAGACATCAAAACTATGAACACAAATGGAATCATGTAGTAACCAAAAAAGTGTTAAACAAATCAAAATATATTTTATATTTGAGATTCTTCAAATAGCCACCCTTTCCATTGACAGCTTTGCACACACTCTTGTGTAGTTGTGCGGGTATCAATATTAACTTATTTCAGTGCACCTGCCACCTCGGCGCAAACAAAAGGAGACCCATTTCATTCAATGAATCTTAAGTTCCTGCATCTAGCACTTGGATCTCTTGTTATTAGGCCTGCTGTTGGCTACATTCTGAATTGCAATTTGTTGTGTCTAAAGAATTTTTGACAGTTTACTGTGCCAGTCATTATAGCCAGTTTAGGATAATAGTAAGGGTATCGCCCTGTTTCCCAATTGACGAGTTACTGTAACTGTATCCCACCCTGACTTAAAGGGAGAACTCTCCCTTTAATGGCTTAGTCTTTGAATCATTTAAATTAATTTATCAAAGGTAATGCATAGGGCAGGCATTTTTAACCAGACCATATGGCAACTAAAGTAGTCCAATGTATGTCTGATTTTAGTTATTCACTTTGAGCCAAAGTTTTTATATACAAAACAGTCATCTATTTGTTTACTAAATCTAATTTTGTCACATGCTTTGTAAACAGGTGTAGACTAACAGTGAAATGCTTTCTTACTTACTAGGGGACAGTTCATTACCAATTGTATGTGAACTTCTTGGTCCAAGTTCTAGGGAGGTGACAGGTCGTGCCCTGGGTGGGTCTTTGTTATTTTAAAAAAAGCGGGAAGAATTTCGGCACCCTTTAGTCCACTGACCACCAAAACAGGAAGTCCTTACCTGAGAACCGTGCCAAAGGGAACATGCAGGAAGTGAACCGTTTTAGTCACAACACTGGGGCTGCAGACAGAATGCTGTCCCTCATCCAGAGACGGACACTAGTGCCTCTGTGAAACTTAGCAGGGAGATCTGTGTGTTCCTGGCAATAGTGAGGGGTGAGGCTACACACCCAACTTCAATAGTCTTACAGCATTTTAGATAAAAGCATGCCAGCTGTCTACACATTATGCATTGATTCAGGCAGACATATACGGAACACTAATATAAACGCAACATGTAAAGTGTTGGTTTCATGAGCTGAAGAAAAAATAATAATACTTTTTTGCCAAGATAATCCATCCACCTGACAGGTGTGGCATATCAAGAAGCTGATTAAACAGCATAATCATTACAGGTTCACGTTGTGCTGGGGACAATACAAGGACACTAAACACAATGCCACAGATGTCTTAAGTTTTGAGGGAGTGTGCAATTGGCATGCTGACTGCAGGAATGTCCACCAGAGCTGTTGCCAGATAATTTAAAGTTAATTTCTCTACCATAAACTGCCTCTGCCATTTTAGAGAATTTGGCAGTACGGCTTCACAACCGCAGACCACGTGTAGCCACGCAAGGACTTCCACATCCGGCTTCTTCACCTGCGGTATCATCTGAGAACAGCCACCTGGACAGCTGATGAAACTGAGTATTTCTGTCTGTAATAAAGCCCTTTTGTAGGGGAAAAACCCATTCTGATTGACTGGGCCTGGCTTCCCAATGGGTGGGCCTGGCTCTCAAGTCCCACCCTTGGCTGCGCCCCTGCCCAGTCATGTGAAATCCATAAGCAAGGGTACTCAACTCTTACCCTACGAGGTCCGGAGCCTGCTGGTTTTCTGTTCTACCTGATAATGAATTGCACACACCTGGTGTCCCAGGTCTAAGTCAGTCACTGATTAGAGGGGAACAATGAAAAAATGCAGTGGAACTGGCTTTGAGGTCCAGAGTTGAGTTTGAGGGGATTAGGGGCTAATTAATTTATTTCAATTGACTGATTTCCTTATATGAACTGTAACTCAGTAAAATCGTAGAAAATGTTGCATGTTGTGTTTAGTATAAGATGTATCCTTGCAGTTTGATATCCTACCAGTTAATGTTTACCATTTCATGTCACAAACTCTTCAAATAAATTTGACATTTTTTTTATCTCTGTGACTGTGAGGTGGTGATAAAGAATCCAGAAGTATTCTTTTTCAGTACCAGTATTAACACCCAAGAGTTAATACTTGGTGGAAGCACCTTTGTCAGCTATTAAAGCTGTGAATCATTTGGAATAAGATTATACCAAGCTTGTGGATGTCGATTAAGTGTTTAGTAACTCCAAAATGACTCAAATGACACAATACATGGTTATTTACCATTCATTTCCATTGGGCACAAAATAATCTGAAACACAACCAAAACAACTACAAATGTATCCAACAAGTTTGTAGAGTCAAAACTTGATGTAGTCATTGCAAGCTAGGAATATGGACAAAACACTAAACTTTTGACTACTTTATTCATAAGAATCTTTAGGGGTGTTAATCATTTTTACCCCTACCTTTGAGAAAAAAAATATATACTTGTTAAACAAAATCTCTTTCTCTGAGCATTTGTATTAGTATAAAATATAATTTCCCAATTTGTTTTAGTATACAATATACAGTGCCTTCAGAAATTATTCACACCCCTTGACCTTTTCCACATTTTGTTGTGTTACAAATCAAATCAAATTGTATTTGTCACATGCGCTGAATACAACAGGTGTAGACCTTACCTTGAAATGCTTACTTACGAGCCCTTAACCAACAATGCAGTTTTAAACGGGATTCAAATGGATTTAATTGTCATTTTTGGTCAATAATATACTTTAGCTCCAACCATTTCTCAATGTGTTCCACCTTTGGGAAACTTGTCGTTTAGTAGCCCTACAAACTGTCACGCAAATTAGTAAACGTTAAATCGAACTGAATCAACCCTGGGTGTGTTTGACTACAGCTGATAATCAAAGAAGGATATTGACTGACTGTAGCTAAATGAACTAATAGCGGGAGACAACGCAATTGCGTCCCCTTTCTCTGATTATCATCTGATTATCAGCTGTTGCAAACACACCTGGGTCTAAATGTATGAAACGTCACATACAATAAAAGGTTGTATTTGCGTATACCCAAACAGCTTACAAACTTTTTATAGCACAAGTACGGGTATTCGGACATAGGCAGTTAGTGTGTATCAGAATCTTAGCGGTGCTCCGTAGCTAGATAACTGTTTGTTTGACTGGCGCATTTGTCTGAGCTGGTTGAGTTCTCAGGGTCTATCTGTGGGTGACAGACAGGATGATCCTTCTACTCCTCTCCCTGCTCCTGACTTGGACTCCAGTGATCGGGGCACAGCCGGACATCCATATGCCCTTCATGGAGCACCTAGACGCGGACAACAATGTCATCCTGAAGTGGGGGTTCAGCGAGGTCCAGGGCACCATCACGTTCCAGCTGACCTTCAAGACCACTGGCTGGGTGGGATTCGGGTTCAGCCCAAATGGAGACATGGCTGGAGCAGATATCGTTATTGGAGGGGTCGGACCAAAAGCCAACTACAGTGAAATGCTTACTTACAAGCCCTTAACCAACAATGCAGTTTTAAGAAAAATAAGTGTTAAGTAAAAAAGAGATCAATAAAAGTAATTCAAGAGCAGTTTCCCCCTAGTACCCTTTGTTGATTGGCTAGTCTACATGAGATTGTTATGGATAGTCTAAAATAGAATTGTTAAACTGCAGTCAAGTATCGATCATGTCACCAAAATAAGACCCTCATTGTTTATTAGAAAGCAGAATCAAGCTCATCACCATGCACTTTCAGCACCCTGTGAAGTTCATAATTTATTTAATCTGAAGCATAATAAACTGCGTGGTTTCCTGAGTCATAGTGGGAGGACCCCACACTATATCATCGCATGACTCCAAATGTACTTCGATATGATGGTTATTACATAAACATTTGCGCATAAAGGCATTTCCACCTACTTTTCCCACTAAATTAATTTTACTGACACAAAGATTGCAACCGTCACTACCGAGTTCCACACTGCCTCTGGAAGCAACATCAGATCAAGAACTGTTCGTCAGGAGCTTCACCATACTTCACCATGCACAAGATCACAATGCTCAATGCCAAGCGTCGGCTGGAGTGGTGTAAAGCTCGCCACCATTGCACTCTGGAGCCGTGGAAATGCGTTCTCCGGAGTGATGAATCACGCTTCACCATCTGGCAGTCCGACGGACAAATCTGGGTTTGGCAGATGCAAGGAGAACACTACCTGCCCGAATGCATAGTGCCAATTATAAAGTTTGGTGGAGGAGGAATAATGGTCTGGCGCTGTTTTGCATGGTTCGGGCTAGGCCCTTTAGTTCCAGTGAAGGGAAATCTTAACGCTACAGCATACAATGACATTTTAGACTATTCTGTGCTTCCAACTTTGTGGCAACAGTTTGGGGAAGGCCCAAATACAGTAATTGCCATACCTCCTTGCCGTCGGAAGAAGACCGAGCAAGATTGACAACTACTACATCATGGTGGACAAGAGACTTGTTCCCTGACAAATCAAATCAAATCAAATTGTATTTGTCACATACACGTGTTTAGCAGATGTTATTGCGGGTGTAGCGAAATGCTTGTGCTTCTAGCTCCGACAGTGCAGTAATATCTAACAAGTCATATCTAACAATTTCACAACATATACCCAATACACACAAAACTAGTAAGGAATGGGATTTAAGAATATATACATATGGACAAGCAATGACAGCAATGACAGAGCGGCATTGACTAAGATACAGTAGAATATTATAGAATAGAATGCAGTATATACATATGAGATGAGTAGTGCAAGATATGTAAACATTATTAAAGTGACCAGTGTTCCATTTCTTAAAGTGGCCAGTGATTTCAATAGGAAGCAGCAGCCTCTAATGTGCTAGTGATGGCTATTTAACAGTCTGATGGCCTTGAGATAGAAGCTGTTTTTCATTCTCTCGGTCCCAGCTTTGATGTTCCTGTACTGACCTTGCCTTCTGGATGATAGCGGGGTGAACAGGCAGTGGCTCGGGTGGTTGATGTTGTTGATGATCTTTTTGACCTTCCTGTGACATTGGGTGCTGTATGTGTCTTGGAGGACGGGTAGTTTGCCCCCGGTGATGCGTTCGGCAGACCGCACCACCCTCTGGAGAGCCCTGTGGTTGTGGGCGGTGCAGTTGCCGTACCAGGCGGTGATACAGCCCGACAGGATGCTCTCAATTGTGCAACTGTAAAAGTTTGTGAGGGTTTTAGGTGCTAAGACTAATTTCTTCAGCCTCCTGAGGTTGAAGAGGCTCTGTTGCGCCTTCTTCACCACACTGTCTGCGTGTGTGGACCATTTCAGTTTGTCGGTGATGTGTACGCCAAGGAACTTGAAGGCAACTAATGGTCTGTGTGCGTTTGATGAACCGTTCAAAGCCAACTTTGTCTTTAACCTGATGTATGATGATACTCTTGTCAACTTCTACGCATTTCTGCAGACAACCTTCTACAACATTGATGTAGGCAAAACAATAGAGGCCCCTAGCATGATAGAGTTGAGGACAAAACTTCTTAACTAGAAAAATGTATGTTACGGTGCTTTTGTTGTCAAGCGTTGCACAGAAACAGCCAGTCATTGATATCTCATTTGAGAATTGAGCATAGCTTCTATCCATCCAAGTTTAGATTGGTCTGTGGTCAAGATCGTTGTAGAAGGCAGTTTTCAACATACTCAGGTTTAGAAAACATTTGAATAGTATTCATTGGTCAAGTAGTTGATGCATTGAGCTTAGAAGGGCCCTCTCATGTTGCTGATTCTCCAGTCCAGTCAGAATCCACAAATGGGTGGCGACATTGGTGTCCCACATGATAACACTCAAAGTGATTGTTTTGAGAAGAATGGTCAGAGTCTTGCTAAAGATATGTGTGCCTCCATCATTGCCAAGTTGCAAGCTAGTGGTGTTGCAAATAGTGTTGTGCCAAAAGTAGTGTGTGATTTAGAAGGGTTTACTACTGGGCTGCAGTCCCAGATTAAACAAGATGTTCTGTCAGTTATGCCTATGGATAACCCCTCTGCATCTGCTGTAAATGATAGTTTTGAGAACTTTGAAAACCCATTTGCCAGTTTTAACACAGAGAACAAAGTACTTCAACCAAAAATGGGGTGTTGTGGAGCCAGTAGAAGTAGTGTTGGGAGTTAGATATGATAGCAGGCAAAATTAAAAAACAGACATGTATGATCAAGACCCAGTGAAAGACACTTTTGTATATATTTCTATACTGGAAACATTGACATTAATGTGTCGCTATTCTGAAATCTGTAAGTTATTGGAAAATGCATCTAGGTATACATCTGTGGAAGACACTTATGAAGACTTTTGTGTTGGAAGTTACTTGAAGACTCATCCCTTGTTCTCAAAACATAGAAATGCTTTACAGATCCAATTGTACTATGATGACTTTGAAACTGCCAACCCGCTTAGATCCAAGCATGGTGTTTACAAGATAGGTGCCATTTATTTTGTCCTCAGGAATCTGCCACCCAAGTTTAACTCTGCTGTGATGAATATTCATTTAGTGTCATTATTTCATTATCAAGATCTAAAGAAATATGTTATAAAGCACTTGGTTAATGATGTAAATAAACTGGAGAGTGATGGTGTAAATGTGACTTTTTTAACTGATAGAGTTTATGGCACTATCTACCAAATAACTGGAGACAATTTGAGTATGCATGCAGTCCTTGGTTTCACAGAGTCCTTCAGTGGTCAATACTTTTGCCGGTTCTGTTTGATAGAAAAGTCTAATGCTCAGACGGTTTACAGTGAGGATGACCCTAATATTTTCTTGCGTGGTAAAGATCAATTTGAAATGCATTTGAATCAGTTGCAATCAGACCCACAGCTCCCATCTGTGTACGGTGTAAAGAAATATTCTAAACTAAACAGTTTGCAGCACTTCCATGTTTGTAGTAATTTTTCTGTGGACATAATGCATGACATTCTTGAAGGGGTGGCTCAGTTTGAGTTTAAGTTGTTATTTGAATACAGTGCCTTGTAAAAGTATTCATCCCCCTTGGCGTTTTTTCTATTTTGTTGCATTACAACCTGTAATTTAAATTGATTTCTATTTGTATTTCATGTAATTGACATACACAAAATAGTCCAAATTGGTGAAGTGAAATGAAAAAAATAACTTGTTTCAAAAAATTCTAAAAAATAAATAACGGAAAAGTGGTGCGTGCATATGTATTCACCCCCTTTGCTATGAAGTCCCTAAATAAGATCTGGTGCAACCAATTACCTTCAGAAGTCACATTATTAGTTAAATAAAGTCCATCTGTGAGCAATCTAAGTGTCAAATGATCTGTCACATGATCTAAGTATATATACACCTGTTCTGAAAGGCCCCAGAGTCTGCAACACCACTAAGCAATGGACCCCACCAAGCAAGTGGCACCATGAAGACCAAGGAGCTCTCCAAACAGGTCAGAGAACTTGTGGAGAAGTACAGATCAGGGTTGGGTTCAAAAAAAATATCTGAAACGTTGAACATCCCACTGAGCACCATTAAATCCATTATTAAAAAATTGAAAAAATATGGCACCACAACAAACCTGCCAAGAGAGGGCCGCCCACCAAAAATCACTTTCCAGGCAAGGAGGGCATTAATCAGAGAGGCAACAAAGAGACCAACAATAACCCTGAAGGAGCTGCAAAGCTCCACAGCGGAGATTGGAGTATCTGTCCATAGGACCACTTTAAGTCGTACACTCCACAGAGCTGAGCTTTACAGAAGAGTGGTCAGAAAAAAGCCATTGCTTAAAGAAAAAAATAAGCAAACACGTTTGGTGTTCGCCAGAAGGCATGTGGGAGACTCTCCGAACATATGGAAGAAGGTACTCTGGTCAGATGAGACAAAAATTGAGCTTTTTGGCCATCAAGTAAAAAGCTATGTCTGGCGCAAACCCAACACCTCTCATCACCCTGAGAACACCATCCCCACAGTGAACAGTGAAGCATGGTGGTGGCAGCATCATGCTGTGGGGATGTTTTTCATCGGCAGGGACTGGGAAACTGGTCAGAATTGAAGGAATGATGGATGGCGCTAAATACAGGGAAATTCTTGAAGGAAAACTGTTTCAGTCTTCCAGAGATTTGAGACTGGGACAGAGGTTCACCTTCCAGCAGGACAATGACCCTAAGCATAATGCTAAAGCAGCACTCACGTGGTTTAAGGGGAAACATTTAAATGTCTTGGAATGGCCTAGTCAAAGCCCAGACCTCAATCCAATTGAGAATCTGTGGTATGACTTAAAGATTGCTGTACACCAGCAACTTGAAGGAGCAGTTTTGCCTTGAAGAATGGGAAAAAAATCCCAGTGGCTAAGTGTGCCAAGCTTATAGAGAGATACCCCAAGAGACTTGCAGCTGTAATTGCTGCAAAATGTGGCTCTACAAAGTATTGACTTTGGGGGGGTCAATAGTTATGCACGCTTTTTTTTGTCTTATTTCTTGTTTGTTTCACAAAAATAAATATTTTGCTTCTTCAAAGTGGTAGGAAAGTTGTGTACATCAAATTATACAAACCCCCAAAAATCAATTTTAATTCCAGGTTGTAAGGCAACAAAATAGGAAAAATGCCAAGGGGGGTGAATACTTTCGTAAGCCACTGTATGCCTCAGAAAATGTTATTTCAAAACGTGCGCTTCTCTAGAATCTACTCATTTGACTATGGGAACTTGGAGTGCAAAAACCGTCCAACTAAAGTCAACCTAGAGAACAGTGGAAATAGCATAGCACTTATTTCTATTCAAACTCTGTGTCTTGTGAGAAACGTTCCCTTGATTTTGGGTGATGTTGTTCCACCAGGAAATGAGAACTGGAATTTGCTGCTCATCTTACTGCAAATAATCAACATTGTTTTTTCCCATTTTCTTAGCCAGAGCATGACTGTGTATCTAAAGCATTTGATAATTGAACATCACACACTTTTCAAACCGTTGTACCCACATAAAAACGTAATACCCGAACATCACTTTATGATAGATTACCCAGCATGCATAAGACAAATCGGTCCTTTATTACATATGTGGAGCATGAGGTTTGAGGCAAAGCGCAAACTCTTTAATAACACCCTCAAAAACTTCAAGAACATTACTAAGTACCTTGCCATAAAACACACATTTGCTATAGGCCATCACTGGGAGACATCACCATTGAAACATATTGAGTATGGACCGATGAAACCATTTTCCCTGAATGATTTTAATGTTGGTGAGGAGTTGGCAGGGTCACTTCAGGTCCTATGCAGAAAGCCATTTACTCTACCAGCTGGGTTAAGATGGATGGCACAGAGTACAGAGAGGGACTGTTAGTTTGCAGTAAGATGTAGCATGAAATGCCAGTCTTTTGTCAAATAACTAAGATCATTGTGGTTGACAATATTGTATACCTATTGCTGGACAAGTTGCATACTGATAATTTCAGTGAACATTACCATGCATTCACAGTGTTTGATGGTGTTGATGACAAAGTTGTTGTCAAAGTTGATGATGTGAAATGTAATATGCCTTTTGTCCTTCAAAGTGCTTATGGTGCTGATGAGAGCCTTTATGTTGTTCCTTTGTTTGACATGATTGAGTAATAGACTTAGGAGGACTTCCACTTGTGTTAAATAGCAACTCTGCAAATACTCTTGTTCTCGTATAGTACAAGTACAGAGGCGCCTGTGATGCACTGATTTCATTTGAATGTGCCTGTGATGCACTGATTTCATTTGAATGTGCCTGTGATGCACCTTTTTCATTTGAATGTGCCTGTGATGCACCTTTTTCATTTGAATGTGCCTGTGATGCACTGTTTTCACTGACGCACCCTCTCTTTGTGGCCTAAATAAATGAAACAAAGCAGAGTCACTACTCTTACATTTACATTTACGTAATTTAGCAGACGCTCTTATCCAGAGTGACCTACTCTTGTAACGAATCCTTTATTGCTCCGGTTTAATTCACCTATAACTTGCAGGCTTGATTTATGAGTGGGAGAGAACCAGACAAAAAATGGTTATTTCCTAGTGTGAATATTTAGCACTTCCTGGTGTCAATTCAGCTACAGGATCCTCAACAATGAAAGGTGTTGCTGCTCAATACTGAGGGTGTTGAAAAAACACTCCCATGGGTCATTTGAACATCACCTGAAGTGTTATATCTTAACATTCAGTGTTTCAATATTAACACTACAAAAAGTGTTAAATTAACACTGATGAGAGTGGACCTATATAAACACTGGAAGAATGTTAAAATTAACATGCCTGGTGTTAAATTAACAATTTCAAATTTGCTGTGTAAGCTATAAGTATGTTCTTTATATTCATATACTTTAGCTCCAACCATTTCTCAATGTGTTCCACCTGATAATATTCTTTATCTTACATAAAAGTAGTAATTCTCTTTAGTTATCTTTTTCCAATGTAATTTTGTATCATAATTGTGACATTATGCACTATATGAAAAGCTGCAAAGAATAATGATTTCGCATCAGTAGCTAGGTTTCCATCCAATTGGCAACAGATATCCATGTGAATATTATAAAATCCATTAAAAAATAATATCCGCATTTTCACAACTTCTCCTGTTTCTCAAATTGACTTGTTGCAGTTAAAAGGCTGTGCGTGACAAAGTAGTGCACACAAAATACCTTTTGCGGTGAAATTCCCATGTACCTAATAAAAAATACAAGTTCAGTGGGTTTCCATAGCATTTTCAACTCTACTGATGGTTTTCTCACCCCAACAAAAATGCGTTATAGCGTGTGCACACTCTGGTATTGGCACGTGCGCTGTAGCCAACAGCTAGAGCGTACATTTACCTCTTTAGCAGACGCTCTTATCCAGAGCGACTTACAGTTAATGAGTGCATACATTTTTCATACTGGCCCCCCGTGGGAAACGAACCCACAACCCTGGCGTTGTAAGCAATGCTCTACCAACTGAGCTACAGGAGGCCTTATACAGCCTACATGGAACATGATGAGATTATTAGCCTATTATTGACAAAAGAGCGAGATTATTTTTACTTGGCAGCCAAGCATCGATGATCATGTCACCAGAATAAGACCCTCGATATTTAGTGGAAAGGAGCATCGAGCTCATCACCTTGCACTTTCACAACCCTGTGAAGTTCATCATTTCTTTAATCTGTAACCTAATAAACTGCATGCTTTCCCGATGAGTCGTAGTGGGGAGGACTACACAACATGTCATCGCGTGACTCGAAGTTTACTTCCATATGATGGTTATTATATCAATAATTGCGCATAATTGCGTTTCCACCGACTTTTTTGCATAATTCATTTTACTGACACAAAAAGATCATACCTCGTCTAGTGCATTTTGTTTTGACGACATTTGGAAAGTTTACCGGAAAAATGTGATGTTCTGTTTCCATCTGGCCTGTCATGACATTTTTTTATCCGAAATGTACTTTACTCTCATGAAATGTTGGATGGAAACCTGGTTATATGGACAGCATATTCCCCTATTACCTCTCCACACCCACCAAACGGGAGAAAACGTACCTCAAAGGAAAACTGTTGAAGAATGGTGCCCACCGTTTTGTGGGAACGTGTCGTTCAGTAGCGCTACAAACCGTCATGCAAATTAGCAAACGTAAAAAACGAAATGAATGCACCCCAGGTATGTTTGACAAGAGCTGATAATCAGAGAAGGGGACTGGCTGTAGCTAAATGGCGGGAAACAACGCAATGGCGTCTCCTTTCTCTGATTATCAGCTGTTGTCAAACACACCTGGGTCTAAATGTATTTAGTTTCACATACTATAAAACGTATTTTCGCATACCCGAAAAGCCTACTAACTATTTAGGACGCAAGCACGGGTATTCGGACAAGGGCAGTGAGTGTGTCAGAATCTTAGCGGCGCTCCGTGGCGAGATAGCTGTTTGTTTGACCTGGAGTTTTTGTCTCTGAGCTGGTTGAGTTCTCAGGGTCTATCTGTGGGTGACAGACAGGATGATCCTTCTACTCCTCTCCCTGCTCCTGACTTGGACTCCAGTGATCGGGGCACAGCCGGACATCCATATGCCCTTCATGGAGCACCTTGACGTGGACAACAATGTCATCCTGAAGTGGGGGTTCAGCGAGGTCCAGGGCACCATCACGTTCCAGCTGACCTTCAAGACCACTGGCTGGGTGGGATTCGGGTTCAGCCCAAATGGAGACATGGCTGGAGCAGATATCGTTATTGGAGGGGTCGGACCAAAAGCCAACTACTTCAAGGTATCTAAACCATTAACCTGTAATCGTTACAATTAGACAAGTATCAGTGGTAATGTAGTAGTTTCTTGTAGAAGTAGCCCTATATGACCCTGCGTCCTAGCGTTTAGGTAGAGGCAGTTATGTTGTAGGTCTTAGGAATAGGCTACTGTGACAGTGTAGTGGTTTTCAACACCTCAAACATTTGGCAAACTACATGTGAATGTGTTGCACCTGGTCAAGTTTTAGAGAAGAGCTGAACTCTATATAACATTTTAAGTATAACTAGAAAAGGTTTTATGGTTGTGGTCAGTATACAAGCACACTATTCCAGATCGGTTTGCACGTTAGTTTAAATGGGGTTTCTAGCTGAAACAGTTGACGACTAGTAAGAAGGCTGCTTTTATGTAGGCTGCTCAATTATGATATCTTTTCACTAATCGGTCATTTGACTGATCAGATAACTTCTGAAGAAAATCTGATTGGAAAATATTTTTAAATTGGGCTTCCTTTGTAAAGAAAGCTGTAGTGACCAGAATTCCCCACATCCATGTCCCTGGCACGCACTGGGAGTCATGCAAATATGGTTGTAGTGTGACCAGTATTAGTATCAGTTTCTTCAAGCAACCTGACCAGTGGCAGTCTGGACTTTCTGGTGTTGATAGCTTATGGTTCTGGTGCTACAGGTGGTGGCAGCAGCATAATAGTGATAATGAACAGTTTCTAAAGTTGTGCTTTCACCAAGCACACCTAATAAAACAAGTCTAGTAGGCTCTATAAATACTCCAGATAACATCAGTATTTTTGTTGTATTTCCTTCAGGATTATCATGCCACAAGCAACGGATTTCCCTTGGTGGATGAGAAACAGGACTACACCCTCCTGTCCCTGACCGAGGCAGACGGTCAAACCACCATGACCTTCTGGAGGGCCATCCAGTCATGTGACAAGGATGACTTCCGCATTACCGTGAGTTAAGTTGGTGAAACCCTGAGCTAGACCATCTGTCATTTATATCCACTTACTAGTTATTTTATTGAGTAGTTCACCACAAACTGCATAAACATGGAGGCTTTTGTAACCCTACGTGGTTCTCGGAGATGAACAAACTTAGCATTTAAAAATGGCATTATTAAAGACTATGGAGTCATAACGTCAATGACAACATTATGTTGGATATGGTTCCCCAACTGGTGGCCCGCAGGTTGAATTTGGACCGCGGCTGGTTTTATTTGGCCTCCGACGTTATCAGAGGGAACAATTTTCATTGTTGGACATAAGACTGTAAACACTGGGAAATCCGCTGCAAGTGACTTTAATTTAAGAAATCTGTTCAAGTATTCCCACGGCGTAGACTCATGTGATCGTATACAAATGTAAGCAAGGTTTGAAACGGCCGCCGATCATCCGCTCAAGAGAGAAATCGGCCCTTGGCTGAATCTTGTTGATGGCTGATATAGGCCCTACTTAGTGCCTACTAGGACTTTTCTAAACGCAGTCCTTAACCTGTTTTTTTTCTTCTGTTCTCTTGTATGTTTTGTTCGATCCCCATCATAGGACAGTCCATTGAAGCTGATCTATGCCTACGGGAAAACGGATGACATCGGCTACCATGGCAAAAGTAGGGGGACCAAGGAGGTGAACCTGCTCAACATGCCTAGCTCCAGCCCCCTGGTCAGCAACTCTGGCGCCAGTCCCCCACGCGCAATAGAAAAGTGTCAATAATCTGTATTCATGATATATGAAAATGTCAATAAATTTAAGGAATAATTCACTCAACTACTCCTTCCTATGCGTAAAATGTTATGTCTTACCATGTTTGAACGCTTGGTGATGAAATGTTTCATCTTGGACTGGAAGCAAAATGTGAAAATCCAATGACTTTACTCTGAACAGAAATATGTAACAATTTCAAAGATTTGACTGAGTTGTAAGGAAATCAGTCAATTGAAATAAATTAATCAGGCCCTAATCTATGGATTTCACATGACTGGGAATACAGATGTGCATCTGTTGGTCAGATACCTTAAGGTAGGGGTGTGGTGCAGGGGAAAAAGTCAGCATCTGGTGGGACAGCCATTTCCGTCATTAAGTGTGACACATACGTATAGTTGCTCAGGCTGATTGTGGAACGTTTTTTTCCGCTCATCAACGGCTGTGCGACGTTCCTGGATATTGGCAGGAAATGGAACATTGTTGTACACCGATCCAGAGCTTCCCAAACATTTAATTGGTGACATGTCTGTGTATGCAGGCCATGGAAGAACTGGGATGTTGTCAGCTTCTTGGAATTGTGTAGAGATCCTTGCAACATGGGGCTGTGCGTTATGCTGAAAAATGAGGTGATTTAAACACTTACAATGGATCGCTAAAACGGTCAAGAATGGCTACAGACCTATGTTGAGACTGACGGGAACATCCGGTTTTTAAATTAAAGCTCCAGGCAGCCTCTCCTTTTTAACAAATTCTCAAGGTCACCCCCTCTCCTAGGGAGGGTGACGTGTTCGATGCCAGTACAGCTAAGGGACGAAATAGTGGTTTGCTTCCTAAATTCGAGCCAATGACTTACGTAGTTGAACGTGAAAGTGACAAACTGACACTGTCATTTTCGTAAACAACGTTATGAAGGAGTGCCTTTGACGGCCCTCACATGCGCGGTTCCGAGCGAGACAACCAATTGACCCGATTTAAGTGTTTCTGCTCATGAGTTTAGCTAGCATATGTCGCAATGTCATCCCCTACAAATGTGTTGGGGGTTTCTAATGGAGAAGCAGTTTCTGCCCATCTTTATATTGAAGGCTCTAGCCAACAGCTCGCTTAGTGTACTAGGGGGTAACTAGCCCCCTAGTACACTATGTAAATGGCTAAAGTTCACACTTCATGGTAAAAGTACCGGGGTAATTGTTCCCCCGCCCCAATGGAGTAACTGACCAACGGAGGGTTTCTGTTACCCCGGTAGAAGATTATGGGATAGGGTTTCTCACAAGTGTGTTAAAACCCATTTAATCTGTTTTCTTTAATAAGTAATACTTCAAATGTAAGTCTAGATGTCTTATTTTAAATAAAATATGGGGAGAAAATGGTGTTGCACATGTCACCTATAATATCTGCACTATGAAAAGATTTGATGTAAAGTCCCTCTTTAACTCACCTGTACATTAATTTTCTGCTTGCTTTTTCCATATAATCCATTATGTACAATTGCACTAAACATGATTTGAATAATGCAAGATTTTAAATCCCAGCAGTCTTTAAAATGACATTCAGGAAGAAAAAGTTTTTAATAGTTTTTAATTAATTAAAACAATTATTCATTGGAATGGAATATACTGTGCATTCGGAAAGTATTCAGACCCCATCCCTTTTTCCATATTTTGTTACGTTACAGCCTTATTCTTAAATGGATTAAATTAATTGTTTTCCTCATCAATGCAAACACAATGTCCCATAATGACAAAGCGAAAACAGGTTTTTAGAAATGTTTGCAAATGTGTACAAAAATAACCCCCCCGAAAAACACTTATTTACATAAGTATTCAGACCTTTTGCTATGAGACTCAAAATTGAGCTCCGGTGCATCCTGTTTCCATTGCTCATCCTTGAGCTGTTTTCTATAACTTGATTGGTGTCCACCTGTGGTAAATTCAATTGATTGGACATGATTTGGAAAGGCACACACCTGTCTAAACAGTTGACAGTGCATGTCAGAGCAAAAACAAAACCATGAGGTTGAGGGAATTGTCCGTAGAGCTTCGAGACAGGATTGTGTCGAGGCACAGATCTGGGGAAGGGTACCAAAACATTTCTGCAGCTTTGAAGGTCCCCAAGAACACAGTGGACTCCATCATTCTTAAATGGAAGAAGTTTGGAACCACCAAGACTCTTCCTAGAGCTAGCAGCCAGGCCAAACTCAGCAATCGGGGGAGAACAGCTCGCATAGTGTACTAGGGGGTAACTAGTTGCTGACACAAAGCAATGTTTGGAAAAAAATGTTATGTGGATGAAGGTCATGCTTACGAGAATAAACTATACAGGGAAATAAATGGCTACAGTTCACACTTCATGAAATGTTTTTAGAAAAGGGGCATTTTATTAAAGTACCGGGGTAACTGTCCCCCCAACCCCAATGGGGTAACTGGTCACTCTTACAGAGCTCCAGTGTTCATCTGTGGAGATGGGAGAACCTTCCAGAAGGATAGCCATCTCTGCAGCACTCCACCAATCAGGCCTTTATGGTAGAGTGCCCAGACGAAAGCCACTCCTCAGTAAAAGGCACATGACAGCCCGCTTGGAGTTTGCCAAAAGGCTCCTAAAGGACTCTCAGACCATTCGAAACAAGATTGAACTCTTTGGCCTGAATGCCAATCTTCACGTCTGGAGGAAACCTGGCACCATCCCTACGATGAAGCATGGTGGTGGCAGCATCATGCTGTGGGAATGTTTTTCAGCGGCAGGGACTGGGAGACTAGTCAGGATAGAGGGAAAGATGAACTGAGCAAAGTACAGAGAGATCCTTGATGAAAACCTGCTCAAGATGGCTCAGGACCTCAGACTGGGGGCGAAGGTTCACCTTCCAACAGAACAACGACCCTAAGCACACAGCCAAGACAACGCAGGAATGGCTTCTCGGCCTTTTGGCTAAGATCAAGTGTAGTATCTTTTACTAGGCTTGGTTGAGAAGTGATCGGAGAATTGTGCTTTTGTCAAAAATTGTTTTTTCTGTTTCACTATTGTTTTTTGTCCTGGGTAGGTGGTGGTTTGGTGGTGGACTACAGGTGCACCAGCATCTGTAGGGTGAGTTAAGTGTTTTTCTTTCCTTATTTATTTCTTGCTTTTCCTTGTGTTAGTTTGTTGTGTGTTTTTGTGTTTACTTTTTATTTTAAAAAATGAAAAAATATATATATTATTTGTTCTGTGTTTGCTCGTTGTTGTTTCTCTTGTTACTTTTATCTTTCTTATTTTTTGTTCTTTGTGTTTCCCCATCCTCTTGTAGCCCTAGTTTCCCTTTAGTTTTTCCCCCTTGTTTTCTGTTTGTGTTTGCTAGCTGGGTTGGCTTGCTGGCTAGCCGGCCTGTTTAGCTTTTAGCTTAGCTGGCCTGCTAGCCTCCTCGCCCCTTAGGCTTGGCAGGAATTGTTTGTTCCTTTCTGTTCATCTTATACCCCCCCCCCCCCCCCCCTGTAACCCATCCATACCCCTGAAATTGTATTCCATCCCCTGAACTTTCCCTTGCCTTAGTTTTTGTTTGTTGCCTTTTGTTTTCACTTGGGGGGCCATTTTGTTGGCTGGCCGGCCTGCTAGCTGGTTAGCTTAGCCTGGCCTGCTGGTGAGGCCTGCTAGCCTCCTAGCCCCTCAATTTGGCTTATTTGTGAGTATTTGTTTTGTTTTTTCTGTGTCCTTCCACCCCATCCATATTATTTCCCTCGTTTTATACCCATTTTTTCCCTCTTGTTTGTTTTGTCATCTGGGAGGTTTAGCATCCGGCCATCCGGTCAGTTTCGCCGGCGCCAGCTTCCTGAGGGAGTTCTGGGGGAAACTCCAGAACTCCCAGAACAAGCAGGGATCCCTTGCAGCAATGTTTGAGGTGATCAAGCTGACGGACAACAGCATTAAAACTGTTATTGTCCGTATGTACAACGAAACGGTACAACCGGAGGACGTTGCAGTATGGTTGGGCAGGTACTGCAACATGAAGGGGCCCCTGACCCAGGTGAAGTATCCCGATGGGATCTGGACAGGGGCCTGGAGAGTGACTGTCCAGCAGAGGGAGGATCCCGGGGGCTATGGTGGGTTGAAAGTCATCCCATCCACCATAGTCCTCGGAGAAAACAGGGGCCATGTTCACTACCAGGACCAGCCAAAGCTGTGCCGTAAGTGTGGTGAACATGGCCACCTAGCAGACGCCTGTGAAAAGGTGGTCTGTATGAAGTGCCGGGAGGTGGGCCATCGCTACGAGGAGTGCACGAACGGAAGGTCGTGCAACCTCTGTGGCGAGCGGTCCCACCTCATCCGCAGCTGCCCCTCCTCCTGGGCCAATAAGGTCAGGGCTGGCAGGATGGAGGCGGCGGCTGCGGACCGGGCTTCCGAGCTCCAGAAGAAGGAAGCGGCAGTTGCCAAGGTGGCGGTAGTGGAGGAGGTGGTAGAGGAGGTGGTGGTGGTGGTGGCGGTAGTGGAGGAGGTGGTGGTGGCGGTAGTGGAGGAGGTGGTGGTGGCGGTAGTAGAGGAGGTGGTGGCGGCAGTTGAGGAAGTGGTGGCAGTAGTGGAGGAAGTGGTAGATAAGGTGGAGTGCGCGGAAGGTGCGGTGGTGGGAGAAGTGGGAGTGGAGGCAAAAACCCTCCCCACCCCAACCCCCCCGCCCCAGACTGATGTGACCCCTGAAGGAGAAAGGGCCGAGAAAGACGGCTCTGGAGAGACGGAGAGTGAGAGCTCCCCAAGTGGGTCTGACAGTATGATGACAGTGTCGGAAACGACACTGTCAAGTGGGGAGAGTGTGGGAGAGGTGGGAGAGACCCTGGGCGAACACCTTCCCCTACAGAAGAGAAACGCTGAGGAGCTCTCCGACCCCGAACAGGGCGAGGAGAAGAAGGGAAAGTTGGAGTGGGAGAGCTCCCAGGGGGAGGATGAGTCCAGGGTCTTTCCATCCAACTCTCCTAACCAAGAATCGTTTTTAAACCCTGTTTTTACCTCCTCTCCCTGCCACCCCCCCTTACCCCGCAGGGAGAGAGAGAAAGTTTCTAAAAAATAACCCCTTTTAAACTGTTTTAATGCCTTCTTTCCTTTTAGCACTGTTTACTAACCTCTTTTATGGCTTTTAACATCACCACCATTAATGTTAGAAGCGTAAAGACTGATTTAAGAGCACAATCTGTTTTATCCTTTTTAGAAAGTTTTAATTCAGATGTGTTTTTATTGCAGGAGTGTGGTCTACTG